CCGATTTCATTTGATTCATTTGCATTAACAGTGCAATCTATCTTTTTGGTTATGCTTTTAGTTTATATATAATCTCCTTTACATAAAAGGAGTGGGGAAGAATTTGAGGATTCTGAGGGCTTCCACGTAGGTAAAAATAATCGGCCAATGAGAACATCAGACCATACCACATATGTCATCCATAGTAATCGACAATCATCTTCCCTGCATCTCTGTCAAGGTCCTTTAATTTAAGAGAAGCTTAATTAAAGCCCAAATCTAAAAACCAAAAGCCAACTAAATAATCAGCTATTAGGATGAAGCCACCACGTCAATAAATTATGGTACAAAGAGTCTGCGTTCTACTATTAAGCGTTTTTAAAGAACCCAAACATTTCATCCCACATGTCATTAATTTGATAATATTTGGCTCACCAATTATTTACTATTCAACGATACGACTTAAATACCGTTTGTAAATTTGAAAAATACACTTATTTTTGTAATCTAACTCCTTTAATATATGAAAAAAACTATCTTCTCCTCACTAGCTTGAAAACAAAAATATATTATAACAAATTTTAATTAATTCGTATATACAATTGTTAATAATATTTTTTTTATTTGAGATAACATTTTTAATTGATTTAAAATTTTTTGATTTCTATAGAAATAAATATAGATACATTATTCAATACCAGAGTTTCAGAGTTTTACTTGATATTATACTCTAATATAGAAATTAAAAAGACTTTACCCAAACACAAAAGGTGATCAATCATGTTATTTTGTGCATAATTGATCAACGCGAAGCACCGTGCATTATGCCATTATGCATTGAGCATGCAGCATCGTCAAAAACATATTAAGAACAAAAACTTGCACAGAGACCGACTTAATGTCAATATGTCCCAAAACAAACCTACAGTACTCCACCTACCATACGTCCTAGATATCCTAAAAGCCGTTGATGGTATCATCCTTTGCAAAAACGGCTACAAAAACCTACCCAATTCTAAGTATAATAAATTAATACAATACTCAAGGCACTAATTAAATATCTATTATAACAAGAAAGTTACGTACTAATTATATCATTTTCGGTTAATTTGAATTCTTGTAGGAGCAAAGATAAACTTTAACAAAAAAAAGGACTTAATGTCTTAGCAAATAACTTTGTAACTAAACTACATAGATTCTATTGACTGTACCATTTCCACAACTTAAGACAAAGAAATCCGACGGTGATGAGTGAGAAATCTGATGGTGACAACGGAGAAATCTGATAGTGATGATGGGCGATTGTGATGAATATAAATTGCAGTAGATGTTAAAGAACTAGGTTAACAATTTTGATGAAGAACTTACAGAATAAATGTTCAATAACCTAGATTAAATATTTCTAAACCAAACAATTTGATTATATTAAATGAAACCGAGAAAGTGACTTATTTTCTTCACCAAAAAGTTGATTTCACATTTTTTTTCAGAAAAAAGAATATTGTTTTCATCTTCAATAGTGCCAATTAAACTTAATGATAGATACAAAATCTTTGATAACGTCAAATTTAAAATAATTAAATGTTATTTATCAATATACTGGAAATTACAATATTATCTTAAAAAAAAACTAATTTTACTTTAAAAAAAACATACAAATATATATTCAACTTTATTAAGGTTAGTTTAATAAATTTCATATCTAAAAAAATATTTTTCAAAAAGAAAATAAGAAAGTGCATTTTTCAAATTTAAACAAGAAAAGCATTTTTCTAAATTTTCTCTAAAATTAATATAAAAAATGATATTGTTTACAAGTTATAAGGTTGGCGACTGGGGAATTTGCGATTGGGGATTTTAGACCATCTCCATTGAGAGGTTATCATGAGAAGTTCTACAACAAAATATTAATATCAAATAAGTAAGTGTAGACGGCGAATCGTACACAGTTGAATTTGTCAAGGGTTGAAAGGAGAACTGAGTCTTCTGAGTATGAATCACAAAGCAAAAGTCGATGATATGTTTTATTGTTGTTTCTGTTATGAATCCCTCTTTTTGGGAGATGATAATGAACTATATATAGTTCTTCTAAGTAAAATGGACCAGCTAATAAATGGACATGGCCCATTAAGCAATATATTAAAATTAGGCCCATTAATCCATTAAGRCCYTTTTTGTTAATGYGTTTAATGTCATTTTGGGCCTAGATTCAGACTAGGCKTTTGTAGKCTTGCTCCGATTTCGTTAGGATGCTGCCCAGTTGATCTTGTCATTATATCGATCTCATAGGGGTGAAATCCGACTCCTACAGTTAGCCCCCAGCTTGGCAGTATCGAGTTAAGATGATGCCGAGGTAAAAGTTGTTGAAATCTGAGATCGATATGTTGGACTGCGAAGTCGCAGGCGTGAACGTCTTATCATCAAACTCGGGAAGTTTRRGCMATTCCMTATTGAGTTGATGTCACCGTGTTTTCCTGGACTTCTCGTTGTTGCCCATTCCTTTACTTAGAAGCCTAACAAAGTTTATACTCTCGTTGCGCTAGTGGGCCTTGAGGCCTGCTGGAGAATTTCAGGAATTTTTCCCAAAAACAAAGTGATTTTAGGAAATCTTTCAAGTATAAATAAGTTTGTTTTTTCAGAGTTATTGTCTACCAATTCGTTTTTTCCCTAAGCAAAAGGTAAAAAATTATTTCTCCCTTCTATCTCCTTATTTTATTGTTATTTTTTGTAGGGTTTTTTTTGTTTTTTCTTCTCGTCGATCGTAGCCGCCGTCACCAAACTCATCCCGACACCACCGCCTCTCCTCCTTCCAATCTTGTCGCCGTCTCTAATCTCATATCACCATCCATTCGTCTCCTTGTTCGTTGCATCGGTGTTGAAATACGAAGAGTCTTCACACGTTGTCTTCTTGTTCGTTGCGGCTGTGTTACTTCACCGACGACGGAGACGCGCGAGAGTCTTCACACGACGGACTGGATCGAGTATCGCATCGGTTCGAGTTCGCGTCTTCGATCGAGGTGGAATAGGTCGCATCGCGAAGTGCAGAGGAAGCTACGATCGATGTGGAGAAGCTCCGATCTATGAGGAGAGACCAAAACGACATAGGGCTTCTC